CACAAGCATCTTCCATTGCTGCCGCCCGCCCATGGCCACAGGACACGGGCAACAGCACCTCAGCCCCACTGCTCCCCATGCAGCTCTTCCTGGCAGGCTCAAAGTGTCACCCCCTTCCCTCCGCAGGCTTCGACTCTGCCATGAGGAAATCACCCCCTGAGGCTGCACCCATGCTGGCCACCCATGGGCTCCCACCCCACTCCCTCAGGCTGAGCACATGAGTTTTGCTGGGGGTGGCCCTAACACTGTCCTGCTTCCAGCTCCGAGACAGCAGGAACAGGGCAACTGGAGAGGTCAAGGCTCTCCTGGCTGTGTGTTGCAGCAGGACCAGCCCCACCGAATGCCAAGGGACAAGAGAGTCGGGCTTGTGCCTGTCCGCGGTGTAGCAGGAGAGGCATGGAAAGATTAAGGGGAGAGGACAGACAGCAAAAACGCAGAGCTTGCTTAAGCATTAGAAATACCAGTTCTGCCCTGGCCGGGAGATGGTACGGCAGCAGGAGGAAGAGCAAAGTGCAGAGCAGAAAGGAGGAGGACTCTGTTCATCCCCTTCAGATGGAGGCAGAGTCTGGTCCAAGGCAAAGCAGCCCCCAGATGTTCCTTTGCAGACTAGAAAGACCCCTCTAAGAAAGGCACGGGGCAGGCTGGGGAGGGACAGACAGCTGGGGAATCCCACAGCACTCACCCAAAAGGCTCTGGGAAAGCCAAGGCGGTGCCCAGGGCTGCAGCAACCCCTCCATGCCCCAGTCCTCAGCTGACCTGCTGCCTCACCACCCCTCCCTGCACTGTGGGGCAGGCTGCTGGACCCAGCACCGCAACACAGCGAGCAGGGTAACAGCAGCTCTGTCTGGGCTCCTTAGCTGCAGTCCTGTGAGCCAGAGGGGGATTTCTGCCCTATTTGGGGAGCTCTGCCCCACACCAGGGTAACACAGCCAAGGGGGGCATACAGAGATGCTCCCGCTGCAGACACTGTGCACTGCCCATTTCCCCACTGCTGGGCTTCAGTTTGATCCTAGCCACAAAGGGTTTGTGTGGACACAGCCAGGGGCACAGGGCTGCCATCGCAGCTGCCTCCAGCACCCCGTGGCTGGGAGCTCCCACGAAGCCCAGCCAGCTTACACAGGTCTGTGGCTGATCGTTGACAGCCCGTGGGCCGCCGGAGGGGCCCTGCACCGTCCCCGAG